TATCATTGAACGAGTACAATCTAGCTATTTCTTGCACTTTCCAAATTGCCTGTTTTGGCAATGCGAGTGTCAAGTTGGCCTTGAACAAACTTGTGAACACGTTCTTCCTCGCGAGTCACGACTCGAATATAGCCACGTGTAGATGTGATAAAAAAAAATCTAGTTATGTTTTGCACGCGTTCGTACATTGTGGCAGAACAGTTACTTCTTAGTATATCTTAAAGCCCTATCTTCGTTGCGGTTGTTCTTTTTTTATCTGGGCAAACGCTTTTTATTCGGGTGAATCAACCATGAAAAAACAATACACACGGAGGGCACTGCGAATGTTTCGTATTTTGATTAGCGCCACTACTTCGCACTGCGCAAGTTTCGTATTTCGATTCACGCCACTAATCCGGCATGGTGCAACAGTCGAGGAAAAATTTACTGCTGTTTGCGCGGGGTTTGCTTGTTGCTCTGGTTGCGCGGGGCCCGTTCAGCAAGGGCAGGGACGTGCTCGCCATCAAACGAGGGAAACTTTCAGCCACTATTTCCGAAAAGCAAGCAACTGCTGCTAAGTTGCAATATGAACTAAAAAGCATGCTTTTTTAATTTTATGCAATAAAACTTGGTGAGGGGCGTTTTCTAGTGTTTCATAAATTTTTAGCGTTATAGGAGAGTAAGTGAAAAAAAAACGTCGTTACTTTTAAAAGTAACTGTAACTGTAACGAGTTACTTTTTTGTTGCGGTAACTGTAACGGTAAATTCGCTACTTTTTTACTTAAAGTAACTGTAACTGTGACGAATTACTTTTTAAAAGTAACTTATCCAAGACTGCTTAAATGGCATTGAACATGGTGCGCCTAAAAATCCTAATACGTTCTGGCGCTTCACTAGGCAACACTTGCGGGAAAATCGACCAAATATCTTTCTTTGTGATGATGCTGGTTATCACTGTGTGCCAGAAGAAATTGCAAATCGTTTTGCTGATTTTTTAGTTCTTGTTATTCGCCGGCACAACAAAATAGCGCTTTTAGTGACGCTGGTATCCAGTGTGGGGACCTTCTGCCTACTTTTAACGTTGACGATGATGACATTTTAGAAGCCATAAGTAAACTTACACCTAAATTATCCACCGGTATTGATTTCATATCTAGTTTATTTATGAAAAATTTTTCCTCTCTTTTGGTACCTGTGTTGAAGTGTATTTTTAACCTGTGTCTAACTCAGGCTACGTTTCCTGAGCTCTGGAAATACTCGGTAGTTGTTCCTGCTTTTTGAAGCTGGTGATTCTACTTTAGTTAATAATTACCGTCCTGTTTCGTTGTTATGCGGCTTCGCGAAGGTTTTCGAAAAAGAAGTGCACAAGCTGATTTACTTTTACTTGAGCAGAAAAATATCCGAATTCCAGCACGGTTTTTTGAGTCCGTAGAATCAAATTTATGCTCATTTTTTAAATACTGCGCTCCAGTGGCTTCCGGAAGAGGTCAGGTTGACGGGATTTTCTTTGAAATGTCGAAAGCCTTCGGCCGGTTTAATCACAACTTATTGTTACACAAGCTTGCCCGCACTTCTGCGCCTGGTCTTGAAACTATCCTGGTCATCGCCGCAATTCGGTTCGTGTTAACGGTAGCTACTCCGATGCGTTTATTTCGAGTTCCAGTGTGCCACAGGCCTCAATTCTGGGACGCAGGTTATTTATTTTGTTTATAAATGACATTTTTCGGTGCGTTAAGGATGCCGTAATTCTTCTTTTTGCTGATGAAGTTGGGCCTTTTTATACGTGTGCAGCCAGTATCTGATTGTTCCAGTCTTCCAGTTGATGTAGACTCTGTTTTTACATGGTGTACCGAAAACTGTTTGTCACTGAACCCACAAAAAAACTAGATCTATGGTGCTATTTAGAAAGGGCGAGAGAATTTTCTTTGCGTACACTGTTGGTGACGTCCTGATTTCCCCCGTATCGTTATCAGAAGTCTTGCCGTCTGTCCTGACGGCACATTTTGTTTTAATAATCACGTTTTTACACCTGTAAATGCACTGCTAAGAATATTAGGTATGATTTCACGTTTATGTCGAAAAGTTTCTGCCCTATCATGTTTGTTGCATTTGTACAAGTCTATGGTCAAATCACGGTTAGACTTTTGCTCTGTGGTTTGGAATTCACTGACCATTTCGCAAGCTATCACGATTGAAAATGTTCAGAAGCGAATGATTAGAATTGTCTATGATAGGTATATTGAAAGGGCGTGTTTCTAGCACTACGAATCATTGCTTCACAGGTTTCTATTGCACAAACTGACTGTGAGAAGACAGTACCGTGATTTTATGTTTTTTTTATACAACGTTGTACATGGTGAGGTAAACTCGACGCACTTATTGCAGTTTATTAACATTCATGTTCCGCCCCGAATTACTAGGAACAAATCAACTTTTTACCCCTCCTGTACATCACCTGTGTCACCTCTTCTGAGGATTCAATTTGATTTTAATATTGCACATCTTAATAAATTTGATATTTTTAGTACACATCAGGATTTTATGCAACAATTACGCGAATGGATGCAATTCCCTTAAGCAAGCCTAGGCCTAGTTTTTTTCTTTTTTTTTTTTTGCTTGTGTTTGTCGTTAGTTTTTTTGTTTTTTTTTTATTTGTATTTTTGTCTTATATGTATAATACTTCAGTCATGTTTGTGTAACACACTCTTGACCGCTAGGTTGTTTGTGGGCACTGGAAAATAAACCATTATTTTTATTATTATTATTAGCAGCAGCAGCAGCAGCAGGCGACATGTTTAAGTTCTTGCTGCTAAAGTGTTCGACGGGATATGTGTCCTGCCGAACAGATTATATGTTGTTTCCTACCAGTATGTCGCTTGACATTAAGACCCTGCGCCGTTATATTTTATTACCTACACCTTTACCTTTTATTCAATGTTCGGTCATTTGAAACCTTCCCACCGCAATCTAATGAAGCTGGATTTCTTGCCGTCGTTTACTGTGTGATGAATTGTTAATCCGTTTACGTTTTATATCGTGCAAATGCGGCACTCTATTTACTCAAAGGAAGAATGAAAATCACAATTGACGAATTTACTGTAACTCGACCTTAAAGACAGGACAAAGCCTCACCCAGCAGATGATTACCAGCCAAAGAGGATCTACCCCATGGGTTTGAAGCCATACGCGAGAATCTCGCAGAATACTTAACGTCCTGTTCCAGTATGATACCGCCCCTTATTGACACTCTTTTGCGCTGTCGCTTTCAATCAAATACCATTCTTTAGATACTTGACCGGTTTTCGCAATACGCTTTCTGGCCTCGAATGCGCCGTGCGTATGCGCGGCGCCATACGCGGGACGTCAGCATAAGCACAACGTTCATATACCCAGGCGCCGCCTGTATAAGGACGTCGTCCTCGACATCATCTTCAATGTCGTCCTGAGGTCGTCCTAGATGTCTTCCTAGAGATCGTCTCGGAGGTCGTCCTTGAAATCGCTCTAGAGGTCGTCTTAGAGATAGCCCTGGACTTGGTCCTTGACGTCGTTCTAGCAAGCAGACAAACCTGCCCCGCGCACACAAGGAGCGGCAGTGCGCACACATTCACATTTGCGCCCAAGCTACGAGGCAATTATCGGTTTCAGTTGAGCTATTTGGTACATGTTCAATGATGGTGGTGAAACAGTTTAAACATTAAACGATTAAAGAGAGTCATGACAAGAAACCCATACGAAGGTGCACTGGTGCTGTGGAAACAGCTTGAACATTAACCGATTACACAAAGACAGAAGATGACACGATTAGACAGAGAAGAAGCGATCATTCAATTTCGAAGGGGTGCGCTGCAGTCGCGCTGATGTCAATGATTGCGTCGTAAGATATTCATTAAATGAAGTGTTTACTGTAATATTGCGTCGTCGTATTCGCTGTGAGCTGTGTCGTGAGTCTCACGATGGATGTTATCGTATTTCATAGACAACAAACAATAGTGGTTTCTGCAGCGAATTTTCTTACTGCATGTAAGCTATATGAAGAATGAGAGTTTATGGCAAAAAAAAACATTTCTTTAGCAGTTCCTCTATACTCGACAATCATGCTCTTCCTTCTTCCATAGGGTGTTGAATTTGTACGATATAAAACGTTAACGAATTACCAATCAGTCAGTCATTAAAAGAACGGCAACAAATTGAGTATGATCGGCTTGCTGTGAGTAGTTATTTTTATTACTGAACATGGATGCAAAATATGAATAGGCAATAAAACGATAAGGCGCAGTAATGATATAAAGTCCTAAAATTGTAGATAATCAAATGTAACGACAACACAGATATTCTGCCGAACAGGTTAACAGGGAATACTTACTTTAGGTGTGTGCTGCTAATAAAGTGTCCCACGGCGAAAAAAAACCACCACATGTTTCCGTCCGTGCTGTTTCATCGCGTACTGTTTTGGGACGTGCTCGGTTGTGGCTCTGCTGTTTTGACGACGCGCTGTTCCGCCGCGTCCTGATTAGATGCGTGCTGTATTGGCGCTGTGCCGTTGTGGCGTGGTGCCGAAGCCATGGTGTACTATCTACTTTTTCGAGCGCCCTTTAAACCTTGTGATTCTCGCGGGGGCAGCTGGAGCTTTTTTTCTAAAAACCTCTGCATCTTTTTCAAAGCTACAAAATATCACACAAACAAAGGCTACCCTAAAAAAATACGACACTATGGGGTGTTCTTTAACGCGCTCTACAACTTTTGCATTGGAGGTTGGCGTACCGATTACAGTTTAAAAAGTTAGCTTATTAATATTTGTTAATTAGCCACTTGAGCTTATGCAAAATATATTGACTAACTCAATAGGGCTGTGAACAATACTGCCTTTGTTCAAAACATGTAGAGTGCAGTAGCTCCTTTTACATCTTTGCGCCATTTAGCAGAAACATCCTCTATGTCTATACCACCCATGCCAGTAAGGAAATGTTACTTGTTTTTTTATAAATACTGATTCATGCAGCTTTGTAACTTACATTTTTCAGCCGTATCCCGTGGGAAAATGCATGCATATCTGCAAGAAAAATACTCCATATGGAAAGTCTGGATATTTCTTCGGGGCCTACCAGGATTATAGTGCCTGCATTGTGAGTACTATTAAACACGTACCCGTGATGGCGCAGGCGAATTGTTCTAAATACATTATAGATGTAGTTAAGGACTACCATGTTAAAGAGCGGTCCGCATATTTGCGACTATTTTTGGCGAACTGAGTTCCGATTGCTTTTGACGGCTTAAGACGAGAATGTACGCCTGAACACTAGCGCCATCTATGATATATCATTGAAATTTTTCCGACGCCCGTATAACTAGACTAAAGGTTTCACTATATTTACAAAACCAAATTTATGCACACGTTATGAGTGATGGTCGGGTATCTCATTATACGCAACGTTTTAGGCTTATGGTAAAATGATCATGAATAAACATAAACAAAGATAAGCAAGCCTCTAGTGTTCCTGTGGCAACCGAAGACGACGCTAGTGTCTAATCTAGTTGTAATTAGTGGCTGCATGAAATAGATTTAAAGGGCCACTGAAAAACCACAACATCGATCTTTTTTTACAAACGCTTCAGAAGTATATGACATAATCCCTAAGAAATGTTCATAGCAAAAGCAAACTTGTAGTGGGAGGAAGAGCCCGTAAAAATTCACGTCATCCTGCCACAATTTGTGCTCTTCCCCACTTCATTATTTTACATTTGATGGCATAGAAGGCGAAGGCATTTGTCAGTATTTTTGTCAGGTCGGAAGTTGCACATGCGAGCAAAAACTGCAAGTAACATTACATCGTTGAATTCAAAAGCTCAAAACTTTGAGCCCGGATATTGAGGCATCGGTCGTTTCTGGCGTTCAACAAAAAACATGTTAAGTGTTGAGAACCCCGAGGAAAATGTAACTGAACGGCACGGAAAAAGTTAGAGAATGTTTAACGCGTACTTTACAGCAGATTCTGTAGAAACAATAGAGAAACACAACATTTAGAAGAAATAGTAATTAATAAAAGAGAAAGAACCACTTTCATAACCTCGCCCCAATATCAATCACACCGACGATCCCACAATTATGAGACCTACACTCTGCTGCTGTGCCCGAAATGCTTTTCTTTTTTCATTAATGCGCGTCAAAATAGTTTAGTTTTCAATCGGTACCTCACGGGGTAAGGAAGACTGTAGGCGCCAGAGACGAACTTAAGAACGCGAACGCGCAGTGTTGGATGCCGGCGATCGACGTTTGAAGAGTTTCCAACTACACACAGAGCACTGGCCTCGCGTTTTTTTCTTTTTTTTTTTTATTTATTGCCAACATGTTTTCAGTGCACGAAAAATCATAAAGGTAAATATTTTTCCAACACACCGGTGGAGTTACGGTCAACACTGATTGACTAGATATATCTAAAAGTAACTCGCCTGTTGAGGGTAGGGTACCAATCTGTGACATCTCCCAGAGCGTGATAGACCACTCGAATTTGTATAATTCTCCGAGAAAAGTAGCTGCTTACAGCTTGTACCTCTACGTCGGTATGCTGCACTGGCATTGCGGCCGTTTCAGACATGTGAAATCCGACCGAGATAAATAACTCATATTTCACAACGTCTGCTTAGTCAAGCGGCAGAAAGCGTATCCCATTTACAGTTATAGGAAAGTACGTTGTTAAAGTACATTGTAGAACATCCAGGTTAAAGACTGCGTCCCGACAATCTAAGGAGTAGCTTTCCGACCAAAGTTCTGTGCTTCTAAAGTCTCCGTATGCTCTCATCTCCTCCTCTCCCTCAGTTTCAATTTGTGTGAAAATGAAAAAAACAAAAATATACCTGCAAAGTACGCCACAAGCCCTAAGAATGCCGCGGAAACACATTCTTTGAATACCTATATTACCCGCAGGATCAGGTTCTTTCCTCTCGATGAACCATAATTAATTAATTTGTTGTTACACTCAATATGGTAGAGCCTTGAAGCGCTACTAAAGGCACTGAGAAAGATGGGTGCGACTGGGAAGTCAGCGACGACTAGGAGTTGTTTTCTCGGTGTCGGATAACCTACAGAATTTTGAGAGAGCAATTGTCGACTGATCAGGAACGTTGGTGTTTCATCACGTTACCCAATAAAGCCTGCAACATGTCGACTTACTCTTTGTCTATAAAAAAAAAAAGAAATTAGATATTGAATTACACACCACAAAAAGAATATATTAGACTAAAAGTTACGCGTCATCTTCACACGGTGAAAGGACACGTGACGGTGCTCAGCGAAAGAAAAAAAAACCTAAAAGCTGACCAACAAGCTGAAAAAAACAAAAAAACTTACTCGCCCAAGCCTGCGGTCGACATTATTATTGAGAAGGACAAAACTTTGAAACAACACTTCTCGGAAGTCATACAAGAATGCAATGAGAGCGCCATTTTCCCATCTACGCCATTGTTTCAGGCAAAGGCTTCAAAAATTGCGTTTAAAAAAAGAATGTTTTCTCTGGAAATGCGTTGTTCTGAATAATAAACTTTTCGGACGACCTTTAGGAATCCTTCACTGTTGTTTTCAACAATAATAAATGTTCGCAGTGGCACTTTTAGAGTGTTGTCAGCTCGTTATTTGTACAAAAAATCTTAGAAACATTTTAAGCAAAACACTTCTACACAAAAAAGCTTGGTTGGCACAAGTTCGATCACACCATGTTTAAAACAGTCCGGTAAAATATTAATGTATAATGCAATCAAGGCACTTTTCAAAAGCGCTCAAGCCAATCCCAATCTCCCGATAGAAAGCCCCATTCAAGTTATTCCCTATGACTCATTCAGAAACGTTTTCTTACGCAGTTTAAAAGTAAAAAAAAAAAAATTGCATTGTGCGTTTTTAATCTGCCGAATCAATAAACTAGCAAATACCTGTTTCAAAAGCCACACACAGCACCCGTTGACACATGCAGGGATTCGCCTAGATAGTTCAATGTCAGGGCTGCATCAACGCTTCTGTCATTACCGTCCTTTTGCTGAATTAGCATTTTCGAGGAAACAAAAGATGTAGAATTTTTGCAGTCGGGTGAGTTTGACGAGCGAAAATATCGCGAAATTGAAAAGAACGTTTTTGCCGTGTTTCATGAACTAGGAACCAGTACAACCTTAATCAGACTATTTTCGTAGTGGTGATATTAAAATATGTTTTACCGTAAATTGTTTTTGCTTTCCAGTTGGCAGACGGCAAGACCGGCGAATGCAAAAGTGGACTGTGTGTTCCAATTAGAGGGAGATATCCCATTGAAAACTGAGGCTTAAGTCCTCGCTCACGAAAGTCAAATTTAATAAGAAAATATCCTGCTTTGTTTTAACTTAGACTTTTTTTCTAAACACAGAAGTTTTAAAAGTGCACATATTGTAACTGCTTGTATTCAACAAAACCAATAAACTCTTCATTGTTAAGGTTTAAAATAAGTTGCATTTTATTAAAAGTAGCATTATAAAAAGCTCCACCAATTTTGTCACCACCAATGCCAAGCCCCAAAATTGCGAGTACGTTCGAACAGTGCCTCACCGCCGTTAAAAAAAGTTCCTTCTGACTGTAAAAGTTCTACCACATTTCAACGTCGCTTTCAACTTCCCATCCAGTCACGTCGTTGCAATATTTTGAACAGGTTTTTTAAAGACTTTCTTTCAACCGAACTCCACAAAGTACCAACGCTAGAAATACAACAAAATTTCTCTCACGACGTCTTTATATTGCCTTCTGTTGGCATATTTGCAAGGAAGATATATAGGGTAGATCGATAAAATATTCTAACATAGTGCGGACAAGTGGCATCACACGTAGTCGGAGCCTCCTTCCGGAAACTAGATTTCCGCCTGTGTCAACACATTACTGTCTCATGCAATACTTCATATTTAGAGATACGGTACCTCAACCCTTTGCAACCAGATTAGAAATAAATCATTCAGGAGAAAAAGGGAACTTGATTGTAATCCTTTTAAGTTCCTGAGTGGACATGGTTGAAATGTTTGCTTACCAAGTGAAGGGTGAAGGGTGGAGCTGTGAAGACTACTTACTGAATTACTGGTATTATGCGCGAGCGTTGTAGTATGTATATGTGAGGCATCCGTATGAATGGAAAGTGCCACCATTAATATGAGCACCCCCATATGTCCTTTGTTTGTGCGAAGCCGCAGAGTTCAAATGGCAAGGCGAAGCCGGTTCTGGGTTCGGCCAAGTTAGTGAAATAGGAGCATTGATTTGCGCTACAGAAACACTCAGCTATAGGGTTTGGCTTCGTTTTCAGTTGCGTACTTACTATAAAACGGAGTGTGGCTTGTACGCTCACGCTGACTCAGGCACTCTGCACACACAGGCACGTCTAGAAAATGGCGGAGCTGTCAGACGGACGCTTCATGCCACATCGGAGCCACACCTGGGCTGATGGCATGTGAACACTCTGTGTGCCCTAGCAACTCGCGGAGCACGAAGTCGCATGGCACGCCCTTGGTGCTGGATTGGCTGGGAGAGCTCGTAGCAAAAACCGCTGTCTCTAGTTTTGAAAGTGAAAGCGCGGCTTGTGGACGTTCTGCGTTGCCATGAAATCACTATGTAATATTGTCGTGGCCTCTCCTTTGCCACACTCTTTGCGATGGCACAACAGACAAAATCCGGAAACAGACCATTCTCCCGACGGCGGGCACACCTTGTACTTAGGAACGCGACTGAATAGCACACGACAAAACAGCACGCGACAAAACAGCACTGTCAAAACAGCACACGACAAAACAACACGCGAAAAAACAGCACAGTGAGAAAACGGCGCGGCTATTCGCTTTGAGATCGAACCGTGTCGCCACCGAGCGGCCGAAATTGGAAACGCGCGAAAGCGGGGATATCGCCGTGCATCGTCTGCTACGGGCGCACGCTCAGAAGCATGGATCTCGACGACGCAAGCCCGTTTCAGGCTGAGCTTGACATTTCTTATTAAATGTTTTATGTTTTTTTTGCCGTTTCTTCTTACTAAAGGTTGTGTTGTATCGTTTCCCGTGCGTGGAAATTCATCAAAGCGATTATTATTAAGTCGGAAGCTTCCATAATCTCAGTGCGTTGGTTTGTACATAATCGCTGGTCCCACGTATTTTTGCTATCTCGCACAAACCGTGGCTTTCATAAAGCATTGAATGTTGAGTGTGTCTGTGGTTTGATTTGAAAATTAACCCGAGTGATCGCTATCCTTTAATAGAATAATCAATTAATAAATCCATATGTTGATCTCTCGTCGGTCATATTGCGTGAAAGACGTTAAAACTACACATGTTTTTACTGATTTTATTATGCCATAAATGGCATATTGCATTCCCATTCTAAACTTCACGTTGTGAGTCCTTCATAAATATGAACACGGGAAGCCTTTTAAAATGAAGTATTTTTTAAGGTATTATTTAAACAGTGTGATCACACTTCGATGAAATGAAAAGTACGATGGAGGGGTTAACCGTGGAAGTCAGTGTCACAAAAGAAATAAAGACGTCAAAAATATTAAAGCAGGCATTTTTTACTCCTTGTTGATTTTCTCCGACACAAGACTCCAATTAACCGGGGAAAAAAACATTGCAATTAAAACACTACTTCAATAGTCTGAAAGCTATTCAATGAACTCCCCAGTCCCGATATACGTTAGGTGAGGACGGAGGGTGATCGGAAAGTCTCGTGAAGGTCACTAGCCCTCATCACTAAATTAGTATCACTGCGGCCGATGCTGTCTGTGTCGTGGGGCGCGTCGCTTGTTGGGGTTGCAGCGTCTAGTATAGTGTGTTTGGACACAACATTATTTAGCCAGGAATGTATAGCATTAGCCTCTTGACATCCGCGGCCCTCACCAAGAAAATTGAAGGGGGTGAACTCACACTACCGAGAAAAGCATTAAATAACAGGAACATTGCTGCGTTGCTCGGTTGCACCCGTTTATTACAGTCCCGGCAGATACAATAGAACAGTTTGTTTCACTTGTTTCAGTTGTCCTGCCAACCGTGCAGTTTACAGATCTTAACTAGATGAGACACTCTCTCCTCATCGCAACACAGTAGATTTGTTCAGACACCAAAAAACTTACCCACACTAGGGCACAGTAAAAGGGCAGAGGAACTCAATAGCATAGTAATTTTAATACAGTGCTAACTTAACTTCATTCTAAATATTTATATTACTGCAAAAGCTAGAAGTTAAAAAAAAACAGAAGCTGCGATTTCACAGCCAGTATTATGTTACCTGGTTGGAATTTATTGTCTTTTTTTAATTCCCATGTTGATGAACCGACACATACATTTTAAAAGAAACAAATATTTAACATAAATATTCCAGTTCAGCTGCAGACCGGCATCAGTCGTGGTGATCCATGCTTTCCAACGTCTACCTAGAGCAGACGACGCACCCACAGAAGCCATTATATAAATTTAGGCCTCACGCTGGCAACACGATTCGGTCTTCACTGAAGCACCGAACATTACCCCATCCTTTTCCGCTAGAATTGTTTTCTCACCGACAGTATGCGACAAAATAAACGCAAGAATATACGCCGTCTCGCGCACGAACGTGGAGAGCTTATGGGGCGGCCGTTCTCCTATCCCCGCTTTGATGATGATGATAGCGCGACCGTAGCGCCACCTCTAGGTCGATCTCGAGGCCAATAACACTGCACGCGCCCAAACAGCGGCGACAAAACAGCACGGCGTCAAAACAGTAGAGCGACAGAACAGCACTTGCCAAAAAAAGCACACGACAAAACGGCACAGCAGCAAAACAGCACGCACGTAAATGCATGGTGTTTTTTTCTCCGAAGGACAGATTATTAGCAGCACGCGACTAAATTAAGTACTTCCTTCTAAAGTTTTGAGAACAGCATGTGAATTGCCGTTGCATTTTATTACCGACCGTTATAGAACTTTATATTATTACTCATAGCTTTTCTTGAATGTTCAGTAATATAAAACCTTTTGCACGCAAATGCAGTTAAATATCGTGCCGTCTTTTTAGTGACTGATTGATTGTTAATCCGTTAACGTTTTATACTGATACAAATTGAGCACCCTATTCATTTAAGTTAAGAATGAAGATCACATTTAGTGGAACTGCTAAATAAATTGTTCTATGCCTTAATCAATCTATGATATATTAAGTAAGAAAACGACAGCCCAAAAGAGTGTCGATGAGGAGCAGAGTGTTATACTTGGACAGGACGTTCCGCAGTCTTACCGAGATTAAAGCGTGAGGCGTTGAACCTGATGGGGTGCCTCCTCTTTGACCGTCGATCATCTTCTGGTGGGCGTAGCACTGCTTGGTTCTTCGAGGCCTCGATGAGGCGGTACGGGTCAGGATGTTGAAATTTGAGCGAAGGCTGAATACTCGGGTGCCTTGCTTCTACGCGGTTGTTGGTCTGAGGAACCTCGTCAGCAACGCGCTCATTGCAGCTATCACTCTAAAAAAAAAGAAAAAATGTCAGGGGTGGCTTTTTTTGGGATTGTGCAGAGTTCTCTCTGTGGTGATACCTCTAAAAGACTCATATTACTCTAGTGTTAACTCGAGTAAGTGAAGCAGATTTGCCCCTTCCCCCTTAAAGTCTAGATACTCTATTAACAAGTGACGTCAGGTGACCTTATTCCTTACTGGGGCGGTCAGCGAACTCGCTCTCAAAAAATAATGAGACTCCCGTATTACTAAAATCACGCAACCCTACAATCAATCAGTCAAATCAAATCAAATGACAGTAACCGGCTTCATTTTTGGTAGAGTCAGACGACTCCACCAAAACAGCATGCGTTTACGTGCGTGCTTTTTTGCTGCCGTGCCGTTTTGGCGCGTTCAAAACCGATCTTGGCGTCACTAAGTGTCAGGCAAACGGCAGGTGCCGCGAGCGGCCATTCCGCTAGTGTGACCGTGCTCGGGGATGCTGAAAAACACTCCTTGCCGATTTGCTGAGTTGTGCTCCCTTTGAATGCGCTGGCGGCAAGGTGAGGATCTTTCCAAATGCATCGATATAATTACGACTGCGGGCGCCGCATATGATCGGCCCTATTTTATTTTTTTTTATTTATTTTTTTTATGCAGCGCGCTATAAATTTCGCACCAAAGGATTTGCCGGCCGGCAGAAAAATGTCACCATTCTCCGGAAAAAGCAAGCTTTGCGGGCTTCTTTCAGCCTTTCACGTACTTCCGAAATTCGTTAGTATTTTGTTTTTAATTGATCACCACGAGAGTTGTGAAACATTGGTTGAACATATGACACCCTATTTGTAAGAAGTGCTGTGAGCTCCTTTAGGTGATCCATAGTACCTGAGTCTCTATTTTGTTTGTAATTCGTCAATATATTTTTTAAATGATCATCACGAGA